ATTCCTGATGCCAGTTCATTGCACCCAAAAAAGGCATCCAGAAAGTCCACTGGGGTCCCAGATAAGCATCAGAATGCAAGTGGAGATGCATAGTGAGATGTCCATCTGCATCTGCTTCAGCTGTGTTGTGTAGCTGTATCTCCCCTGCTCGGTCAGGAGGAGAAGCCATATTCGCAGTGGAAGGTATTCTACCCCAGTCTGGAGGAAGGTTTCAGACATTGCATGGGGTGGTGATGACCGTTATTTCTGGATCATTATTTCTATGGTACAATTGCTATTATTTAATACTTACGTCTCATGTTTAGAGTTGGGGTTGTTGATAACAGCTGGTTCTATGTGTGGCACAATAGACAGCAAGAAGTTTTTCAGTTCTATGCCCCTGAAACCAAAGAGAAACACATATTCAGCAATTTATTGGTATTATTGCTGAATTTCATGACAACTCTGGTTCTGTCAGGAAATCCAGTTTGATTTTTGGTTTCACCACATGCTGGATGAAAATGGAATCCTTTCATCTGGTTTTATAATTGAGAAGACAGATTGCCTGCTTTTTGTGTCAATTACGTAAAAATGGTGTGAAGTGGTCAAGGTGCATAAAACATAAAATAAGCATATTAAAATTGGGGATTTGCTGAACAGAATAGCCCCGACAAACTGGTCTTCCTGACTATGCTTAATTTATACATCTTAATTCATTATGCATTTTTATAGCACCATCATTATATGAGTGAAAGACAGGCTCAAGGGGACTCGAGCTAATTTAATCAGGTGAGGGGGACGACAGGTAAAGGAGTGTCTCCAAAGCATCAAGGGATATTTCAGATAGTTCATCGTCTGTTGTTGTGATAAATAATCATCGATTATTCACTCATTGTACTAGAGCAAGCAGCTTGTACATCAATAATAAATCATGGTAGGGAAGAATTATTTGGTAGTCAGGCTACTCTTGTTGATGTCTGCGTGAATAAATGCCATGCAATAATATTGATGAAGAAAACTGGGACTCTGTTAAGAACGTAAATTTAGCATGCAAGGTGCTCCATACTTATTCTCTCTTTGGTATAATTTATTGATCTGAAGACGGTACATTCTGCCTTAGGACTGTATACAATGCCTTGTGGGTTCTCCAACTCAATGAGAGAGGAGAGCATAACAAGAATACTCAGTGCTGATGTGTTGTGGATAGATGGACTGAAGTGCTCTTTCGGCATCCATCCAAGATAATTTCTGGGGCAACCAGAGTTCGCACCCTTTGATTTGAAGAAGTGGTAGAACATTGTTTACCCATACCCTCACCTCTGCCCTGTGCTTTCGGCCATAACTGTGTGTTTCAGCAAGTACATCAAAGCATACTCAAATACTCACATTATCCGTCTGTCTCTTTAGTATATCTTTCTCCTGCCCTTCCTCAGCTTTCTCGACATAACAGCCTTGTGAGGTATAGACTGACAGAGTACTAATGGCTCAACTTTTATTGCAGAGTGAGGACTGAAACCAGGTTGCCCAGTTCCTACTATTCCATTATTTTTTCCTGTACTTATTTCCATTTTTAAAAAAAGAGCATCATCCAACCAAAATCAAAGTCCCAGTGGTTTCAATTAGAGAGGGTTGAACGCATAGCAAAAACCAGGATTAATCCAGCCATTGAATGTGGGACCTGGAACATATGCTCATGGAAGTTGAATTATATACATACCACAAGTGGTTTTCCAATAAACTAAAGCTTTTGGTTTTGTAACTCTGTTCACTTTTGAATCATGCATATTCCAAACTGTCTTAACAGGTTCATACAGGTAGATACTTCATGGTCATGGGGTATATCTTGTTGCCAATGAACTCTATTGGTTGTGGATAACACCTTGCCAATAAGATGCCCAGACGTGTTTTTGCCTAAAATGTATTCAGAAGGGCAGTTATACTTACAAAGTCTTGGTCTTCTTCTTATGATCCTTGCCTTCTGCAGCCTCATAGTTGTCTGCCATTTCAGCCGAACTGTTGTGCCACAAAAACATCCAAGGCATTTTTTATTTTTTGCTTTGCTTTCTCTTGTTGGGTTGTCAGCTTGTAGCCCTTACAGATCTAAGTGACTGGCCCACTGGCTCCACTGATGGATTTATATACCAGCCCACAGCAGCAGACTTGTGTGAAAAGTCTGTTGATCATGCTACATTACCGCAAGCAGAGAGGAACTTCCTTTTTTCTTCAGTGTCAATGACGTACAGATATTTTTTAAAAAAGAGAGAGAAAGAATACTCCTGTGGTTGTGGCTAAACTGGATGAGAGCAGATCTCTTTGGTTACAAAAACATATCAGAAGATAAGTATTTTTTTTTTAAAAAAAGATTCTGATAAATCAGTTGTTACATGAATGTTATTGTGTTGGAGTAGCCAAGTTAAGACCATCCATTTCAGTGGTGGAAGGGTAGACATGTTTTCAGATTTAGCATTGCTTGATTTTGGTCAACTGCAGAATATTCCAAATTCTTATTGGTGGCTTATTTTTCCATTAGTCTCTTTTTGAGGACTCTCTCCCCCTCCCCTGGTTACATATCGATCATACATAAATGTTTTTGCAACAAATGTTCTCCAGAAGAGTGAAAGCCTGGATTAGATAGTGGGTTGGATCTGGTAATCAGTTTGCACAAGGATTACGGATCCTCTTTGCTTTCTGCTCTGCCCAACAGTCATTTCTGATCCCAGGAATTATTTCCCTGGAGTTATGAGGCCTGCAACAGCTGCTGTGAGGCAAGGGGATGGGGCAAAGTCACTCCTTCCATCAGTGGAGTGCCACTGTTGAGAGAGGCAGCTTTGCCAACAGAAGAGACAGGAAGGGGTTTCTGCCCCCTTCTCTTACTGCAGCCCACTGTATTCTGTCAGTCCTGCAACCTCAGGAATTAATGGTCCTAGGCTGGGATATATATATATATATATCTCCTTATATATAATTGAATAGTGGGTGCCAAAGTTCTAATTCTAAAATGCACTCCCTTAGTGTATGGCTGATGATACTGCTCCTCAGCATATATCGCCACCAATCAGAAGGCAAAGCCCGGGTCCCGCCCACACCACAACTGTTTGTGCAGTCCCGCCCAGCGTTTCAAGGTCTTTTGCATATGGAAGCTGATTGGACTTCACTCCATTCCACACCCCTAAACTCCCCCCCCCCGCAAGACAGTTGGAATTCTCAGTTGAATATGGGACCTGGTGTATTCTGAGGAGGATGTCAGCTGCTTTGGTTCCCTCCCCACAACAGACTACCTGTGAGGTAGGTGGGGCTGAGAGAGCTCTGAGAGAAGAAGAGGAGGAGGAGGAGGAGGAGATTGGATTTATACCCCGCCCTTCACTACCCGAAGGTGTCTCAGAGCGGCTTACAAACTCCTTTCCCTTCCCCTCCCCACAACAGACACCCCCTGTGAGGCAGGTGGGGCTGAGAGAGCTCTGACAGAAACTGCTCTTTTTCAAGAACAGCTCTTCTCAGAACTATGGCTTGCCCAAGGTCATCCAGCCAGGTGCAAGTGGAGGAGTGGGGAATCAAACCCAGTTCTGCCAGATTAGGGTCTGCGCACTTAACCACGACACCAAACCACTTAAGTCCGCGCACTACCACTACACCACAGGAGGAGGAGATTGGATTTATACCCCGCCCTTCACTACCCGAAGGAGTCTCAGAGCGGCTTTACTGCAGTCGTTATCAAACTACTTGAAGTGAGACCCACTTATATCCTTTAACTTTTGGGTGCCACTGGCAAGATGGCTCTGGGAGGCAAAAGTTACATGCTATGCTTCCTGTAGCTCCATTAACTGACAGTGAAATGAGACCCTGGAAGTGGATTTATACCCCGCCCTTCACTACCCGAAGGAGTCTCAGAGCGGCTTTACTGCAGTCGTTATCAAACTACTTGAAGTGAGACCCACTTCTATCCTTTAACTTTTGGGTGCCACTGGCAAGATGGCTCTGGGAGGCAAAAGGTCCCACTGCTACAATTGATCTCCAGATGACAGAGATCAGTTCCCCTGGAGAAAATGGCTGCTTTGGAGGGTAGACCCTATGACATTATACCTGCTGAGTCCTTCCGCCCCCCC